AAATATTATTACATTTTAATATAATTTTTACCCCATATAACGTCCAAATATATATTTTAGCCCTCCTTAGTGGAAGGTATTCCTTCTATACTTTCACTGTATAAATTAGGCAGAAATTACTAATTGGTTTTTAATGTTTTCCTCTATCATACCCTCTTAAAAAAGCAATCATTTTTGACTGCTGTTATTCATGATTTTGGGGTCATAGCTAGCCTAGGATAAGTAGATTTGCTACCCTGAAGCCTTTTTCATTTTCTCTTAACTACTGCATTAGAACTCACAGTTCAGCCAGATGACTCCAAGGCTCCAGCAGAATTTGTGAATAACTGGACCTAGACCTAATGAAGTACAGCTCTCCATTTGTCTGCTTGTTCCAGTATTTTCTTCTTGCTAATGTTTAGAAGATTTGGACATGATTTATTCCATTCTCTGGAGAAAAGTGAATTTAATAAAGAAAGTCTTTACTTGTTTTTTTCCCATATTGTATTTTAAAATGCAGCCATTCCACCAGTCCTTTCTTAACTTTCCTTTGTCTTTTATTTACACTTTCAAGAATTGTTTATGTCCTTAGTTATATGTTTTTTTCATGGTCTGCTGTGGACTTCTCCTAATTTACATCTTACATTTTAACCTGCCAGAAATTATGCTCCTTTCTATGGAAGAAGGATTGAATTATACAAAAGAAAGATTGTATCTGTCAATGACAGAGGAAAATAGTATATTTATGGCTTATAACATATGGATCAGTATCTTTATTCATTGATTTATAGTACTTAAGTATTCTTAACAAAAATTCAATAACTTTCTAGACTTCCCTTTGACTGAGGGAAGGAGGAGTATCCGGCTGGGGAGCATCCTTTGTAATATGACTTTTCCAGGAGACATCAGATGAACTTTTATTTCAAATTCTACTCACTTCATTAACTCAGCTTCACTTTGGCATTTTTTATAGAATGAAGAGTAAGATTGTGGTAAATTAATCTCTAGTTGCATTCAGAACTAATATTTTCTGTATAGAATCATTATTCAAAAATTTGTGAGGTACCTTGACAGATTGTGTACAAATCGAATCCTTTCATATTTGTCCATAGATCATATGAACTGACTTTTTGGAAGACTTTAAAAAGACAAAAGAGAAAAATATCTGACTGTAGTGTAAAAACCTTTTGTGATATTTTCTATGGCAAATGGAATTTAAGGGAAGTCTGTAGGGAATGGCATCTGCAAGTCAGTGATACCATGTATTTTCCTTATTTGTGGGATAGACATAATTTCTGTTTCATCTCCTCTTCATCATTCTCTTTACAGTCCTGTGCACAAAATTTTTTCATGTAACTGTTCTCCATCTGTAGGATAGTGTTTGATATACAGATAGTGTTTGATATACAGAAAAATAACGACTAAAAAACATTTTAGTATATCTTAGAGAAAAGCAGAAATTCTGCTAGTAATTATGTTATTTTTAGAAAATACCAATATAACATTTTCCATACTTAATGATTATGCCTTGTAGACCTCAAAAAACTGTTAGGACTTGATATATTCCTTACAATCAAGGAACATAAAGTATAAAATAGAATATATTAAATTTAATGAGTAAAATGCTTCAAATGTATTATTTTAGATGCAGATGATAATTTTCTGTCTTCACAGAAAAGTGCAAGAAAATGACAGTATTTATGTATATTATTTATGTATAATTACTTGTACTGCCTTTTGCAGTTCAAAACTTGTTTATACAAATTACATGTTCTAGCTACATACTAGCATTTTTCTGCTGGAATAATTGTACTAATGTAATAAGATATAAGTGTGAGGCATATTTAAGGTCTAAAATGTATGTTTATATTTTTATATCTGCAGAAATGTTTATGCATATTTATAGTTTGTGCAATTTTTAGCCTTTTTTTGTCTTGCAAAGAACTTCAAATGAAAACAGAAAATTAATTAAGATTCACCTAAGCTTTTGAAAGGATCCAGTGCCATTTTATTGCTACTATAAACAGTTATAATTGATAAAAGTGTTTTAACATGAAAATAAATACTCCAGGTCTCTAAATCCAAATTCCATTTTCCAGTGTCACTGCAAAAGCCACTAGACAAATATGTAATATTTAAATTGCAGAAGTGTCATGTGCATGGCTTCCACAGCGTTGTTAGACTTTTCCCCTATAAATGTTCCTACCAGCTGTTGAGATCAAACTAGTCAAAGGTTTTGATCCTGGTACTTCTGTTGATTTGCATTGTTCACAGATCAGGCTCTGTGGTAATTCCTATATATAGTGCAATGAGAAATATTATGGAGAAATCATGGTAGTAATGGAAATAAAAGAGCTGGTTCAGATTTAGGACTAATTACAATGGCTGTAGTTGTACACGTGGTATCACTATCAGATCAGGAGTTTGTATACAAACTCTGAGAGATCTCTTTTCATGTGTCTGTCCTGGTTGCTCTACGCTGTTCCATACAACTGCTTTGCATCCACGGAGCGTGAAGCATCTGGGAAACATCTTTAATTATATCTCTGTTTTGGCAGAGTGGCAACAGATAGCTTAGAAGTTCCTCACTCGGGTACTGCTAATGCCACAGCTGTACAAGAAATCCCTTACTGCTTGGTACAGTTGATTATTTTATTTCAGTAAGTTAATTGCTTTTATCCCCTTCTGTCCTTTCCACCTTTCCACTGTGTCGAAGTCTGAAAAAATCTGTCATGAACAAGAGGAACAAAAAATTAAATTTGAAAAGCTTAGATGTGCTCTGAGACAATGGGAGAATTGGAGTGCCGAGTGCTGTATTGCTTATTGTTCAGCTAATTCTTAAATGTATTAAAAAACAAATGCTGAAAACAATCTAATATAGCCAATGATTATGCAGAGTATAATGAAACAATCTCACTTAGCAATTATTTTTTTGGATTGTGATCTGATTTAAATTAGATAGTTATTTTCAAGCTACAACATTCAGTAGTAGTTGGTCATTGTCCCCCTACACACTGGTCCTTCAACTAACTGCTTTTCCTCATATTTCATATGCTCTTCTTTCTTTACTCTTCCTTTTGTTTTTTTTTCAAGAAGATAATAAAGAAGTGTGAATCCTTTCAAAACCTGTCACATGTTGATTGATCCTGTCTATTTACCAATTCATTTACCAATTCAAAATACATTTTTAACACCTCCAAGATACTGAAAAAAAGAGGTTCATGTTAAATCTATATATTGATACCCAGCTCTGGTTTTTTTTTGTAAAGAGACAAAGCTATCACTGCTTGAGTGTAGTAAAGAAATGAGAATTTGAGGGAAGAGCCACTTCAGGCTTAACCCAGGCCAGTGAAGTTATGTGAGTTGCAAAGAGATGCAATTCAACAAATTGGCAGAGACCATTACTGTTCCTTGTATCAAGGTTATTTGTGTTCTGACTTTGAGAATGCCGTGTGTTGCCTCATAGACCCACTGTCTGCCTCCCAGGAATTTCCCTGTGTCTGTCCAAGACTGAGATAGATTACAGAAATAAGATAATTTATCTTTATGTCAAAACAATTGTATATACTTAACATATTACGTTTTCCATTTTAAAAGTGACTAAAGGGCAAAGTCATATCAAAATCAAAATCAATAGATAAAGTGGTATTGACTAAAACCTTTTTAATTTACTTTTAAACAAAATCATAGATACAATTTTGTAGCACTTACAAAAATATCAAAGAATCAAGAAATTAAGAACATTTGGAACCATAAGAACATTTAAGAATTCAGAAATCATGCTTAGGATTTCTGGGAAAGATTTCTTTATCTTCCCACTGGAATTTATGTTTTTTAGAGTATTTCTTTCTTCTTTCACAGGAAAGGAAATATTACACAATCTATTACATATTGAGGAGAAAAAAACGATGATTTAAAACCAGTACTTACAGGTGTTAAAACACTTCAATCTGCTTTCTCTACTTTTTACTCCTCCTGTAGGTGAAGTACAGATCTGCTTGTGAAATCGCTAGGAAAATATTTTTTATTAAAATTTAATTAATACCTTATTTTTTAACTTCTGTTTTTTTGGTAAGCCATTGGTTTTTTTCTTAATGACTATAAGAAAAAATGATCATTTTAAACAGTTTTATTAAAACAGGAAAAAATGAAAAAAGACATTTTGATGGTTTAAATTTTGCAGTGCATACAGAATATTGAAGAGTTTATACAGTAACTTTTGAGGAAAAAAATTCAGAAAAATTTACAAACATACTTAGATTCAAAAGGTTGTCAAGTTGCAGCACTTACTATATTTGTTTGTGTTTTAGAAGCAAATAACTTTTGGGTCAAATATTTGTTGACTGACTTCCTGTTCTGTTCTTTCCTGTTCCTCTTGACTTTCTGTTCCTGTTCTGTTTAGATATTTGCAAAACAATGTGAAGGAGTATGTTTCTTTCTTTCTTGTTTCTTGTCTGCTTTCTGATGTTATCACTCTGCAGATTATAAGAAAGTTTTTATTAAATTGAGTTTTCTGTTTTAATAGGATTTTTTTAATGCTTTCTTTTAATATGGTGGGATTGGTTTGCTGGTTTGTTTGTTTGTTTTTTCCCCTAAGTCTCTGCTTGAAAACTACTTGCACTGACAGTTTCATTTCCTTCCTTCCTTACTGGAAAACTTCAAAGAATCAGAAAGAGGCTTTTCTTTGAATGTCTTTTGTCACAGACATCTTTTATGAAAAATCTTTCCTTGGGATTTTTCCTCCTGAGAAGCTGAGAGGCCTCAGGAACAAAATGTAAGCAATGGTTATCTGCTGCTGTGGAATGCAACAGGTGGATCTTTGATTGGCCCATGTTGGATGTTTGTAATTAATGGACAATCACAGCCCAGCTGTCTCGGACAGAGATCCCAGCCACAAACCTTTGTTATCATTCTTTTCTATTCTGTTCTTAGCTAGCCTTCTGATGAAACCTTTTCCTCTATTCTTTTAGTATAGTTTTAATTTAATATATATCATAAAATAATAAATCAAGCCTTCTGAAACATGGAGTCAGATCCTCGTTTCTTCCCTCTTCCAAGACCTCTGTGAACGCTGTTGCAGTCTATAGGCAAAAATAGAACCTGTCAAAAATAGAGTAGTGTTCTCAAACACTACCTATTGAACCTGAGTTTTCTTTACTCAGTTATACCTTCTTACCCTTTGAAAACAGAGTCTCACAAAGATTTAGACAGTCATTAATTTAAATGAAATTTCGAAAGTCATCAGAGAATCTGACTGAGAGTCCTTCAGAAAGAAGTGTTTATTGCATGTTCTGATGCACAGAAGCTGTCTTCAATAAAGTTAAAGGGGGAAAACCCCCTACCTTTTGGGATGGAATGTTTTTCTTGCTGATATGAAACTAGCAGGTAATAATTCTGTTTCTGGATTTTCTATTGATTTCCTGCATGGTTTTTCATGAATAATGCTTCAGTTCTGCAGAAGAAAGCCCTGCTCCTTACATGCTCCTCAGCTGCTTGTATTGACTATTTGTGAAGTGCAAACCCCAGTCTCTCTTAGATCTGAAAGCTGTAGAAGATATAAATTCTGTTGCTTATTGTATTTTATTTAATGTAATGTAAAATATTACTGCAAAACAGTATTCAAAGGCAATATGATGACTCTTAAGAAGTATGCAGCAAGTATTGGATCTGAAAGTCTGAATAAATAGGCATGGATGAGATAGACAATACTAAATGGAGCAGTTGTATGTTCAGAATCTCAACGTACCTATGTCTGTGTTCAGGAATTTTCAGGCACCTGAAATTTCCATGTAAAGGAATACTGCTTTCTTAAGTGGCCTCATTCCAATGAAAATAATGGGTCAAATTATAATTTAAAGTGCTGCCACACAAACTGATTCCTTGAAAGAAAAATTTAGGTTTTCAGTCATTCACTAAGTTGATGTAAAAATTCATACAATAAAAGGGAACTTATTTAAAACAAACAAACAAACAAACAAAGGAGAGCCATTAAACATCAATGTTATTGTATCACTCAGAAAAGAGTTAGGAAATGAACTTGGATAAAAATTATTTTTAGGAGGTATCAGTGGTCTAATCTTAGAAAACAGTGACTTCATTCATTTAGGCTGTAGAAGTTTTTTCACTCAGAAGAATGTGTGTGGATTTTAGCCAAGTTAATCCAGAGCAAATGGAATCTTTAACCTTTTAAAAGTTTGTAGTGGTCCTGCTTTGTAGTCGCTAATACCAGGAGACACAGAAGGCCTGGCTGATGGACATATGGTGTAGTAAAGCTCATTAGCTCTGTTGTCTTTAGAAGAAAGGTTTATTACTTAGGGGTTGAGATGTGGAAAGAAAAAAGCTGCAAGAAAAGTACTGAATGTTGTGTTGTGTTTTGTATGATTTTAAGCTTCTTTCACATATGATTGAGCATTTGGCTCATGATGACTAGGAGCCCTTGGGTTATGCCAGCTGTTCCAAAAGAAACCCCATTACCCAGTCTGTAAGTCACATAGATATCACAGGAGAGAGGAGGACAGTCCAAATTTCTGTGCAGCTCTTCTCCTTTGGAAGGATTACTTGTCTTTATACAGGGCTAACTGAAAGCCCACCAATATCTTTTCTTGCTCTGGTCAGCCTGGTGAATGCAGAAAAGTTCATTCATTTCCATTTGAGGAACAGGGAAGCCTGTGGCACTCTGCTGCAAAATTTCATCATGAAACTTTAGAAAGGCATTATAAGTTAAACAGAATTAGCCACAAATACTGAGTCTGCTATGCTGTAAACTCTCTTATGCTCAGATTTGTACAGTACACCTGTATCGTGTTGCAATGGATAAGGCAGTGTGCCTTGACTATTTTGGCAGAAGGCACCCAAAGATAATCGTAGCTATCTGTGAATTGGACCATATTGTCTAATCATTGTTACAGCCACGTTTTTGGGATCAGGACATGAGTATAAATAATAACATTTGTTATTATTAAGGGACTGTCCTGTTAGGAAGATGTAGCATTCCGTTTTCCAAGTATAGTTAGAAGCATTGCCTATGCAACTGAATTTCCCGTACGGGGAGAATGACCTGTGTCTCATGAGCACATTGCAGTGTTCTGAGAGAAAGTGCTCAGTGCACCTCTGGGGGCTGGCACTGAAGCTACATGGTTTATATTCTAATATTTCAAAGCAGGATTTATGCAATGTGGCAGCATTTTCACAGTGTGTCTTTATCTGAACAATGACAAAATAAAAAAGCATACTGTAGGCTTGAGAAAATGTCCCTAAGTGCAAAAATGTGAGTGCACGTGCTCGTGTCGCTGTGTTGGTTGGTTTGGTGTGTCCATTGTCTTACCTTCACAGAAGAATAGAGGGATAGTGTGCCCAAGGAAAGTCATCAATAGTAAATTGAATGATATTGACTGAGTGAGCTACCAATTCACAGTCATCAGCAAAAAGAAGCTCCCTAATGAAGAAATCAGCCACACGTGTCTGCAGACTGAACAACTTGCATCAGTAAGAAACTGAATAAATATATCTCTGCCAGTGGCACGAAGTGCATCCATCTGCACAATAGAGAGAAGGTGTAAAAGAGTACAGAAACTCTTTATGATATTAAAGATATCTTTCAGTTTTCTACCTATCTAACCACCATCTAAATTACTGAGAATTAGATATGTCAGAAATAAAATTTGTAAGGCATTCATGGGTCTGCTAAAGCTTCAAGAGTCCCCTATAATTCACATTCTCAAAATGTTTAGCTAGGTCAGTGGTCAGCAAGCGAAGGCAGTAATTTGAACTGATGCTACTTGAAAAGGATTGTGCGTGTGATGCTACTTTCTAAATAACTTTACATGCAAGTTTGGGAAAGACAGACTGCACAAAACAGAATTTGATTCCATCATTTTAGGTATTTTCCTAGCATTGGAGAAAAGAAATGCCACAATAATTGTCACAGTTTGCATCATGATAGTTTGTAATAGATACTGCTGGTGTCTTTGAATTGCCATGAAATTGCCTCCTGCTTTCAGTTGAGGTGGGAAGACCATGTGATGTTTGTGTTGCTTTTTCAAAAGTAATTTGTCATCATGCCTTTTCCAAACGTGTATTGTACAAAGTCACTGAGTGTTCTGGTTCAATGTCAAGACTTTGTAAAAGAAAGAAGGTTTTTGATTGAAAAATTTGACAGGTTGTCTTGGCATTTTGAACACAGGAGACTACAAATTTCAGTCTATGACAAATTTCTGTCATTCTCACAACTGTGACTAAGGATATTTTTGCTCTACACTTTTTCTACCAAAGTATGGCATTAAGTTTGTTGAGGTTACATCTTGTAACAGGTGAAAAGAGATGTGTGCTGTCACTCTCCTACCTATGCAAGAAATATATACTGCAACTACAGAAACTGCATTGAGCTGGTTGATATTGACAAATACAGATTGGGTTTTAAACATCTTTTCTGTAGTAAATGGTATTGATTTCTCTAGATTCAATGTTACTCCAGAGTGCTTTCAGGAATGATGTTGGTTTTATGTTAATTTAAAGTGTGTTTGTACCATTTTGTCCCTACATTCTGTGTTAATGAACACCTACTTCCATCATGGCCAACACAGTCTTGGGCATCTGTCCTATATGTAATTTGTGCTACTGTCAAATCTTATTACCTGCAACTGCTGGTTTGTTGTTTGTTTTTTCAGCTGACAATCCAAAATCCACAACAACACTTGAAGACAGAGGTATAGTTTCTGAAAATGGACAAGAGCTCAGGATAAGTTAGAGGAATTGAAGAGGAAAATAACAGCAAGCAGTGTATTGGTTTTTAGAGTTTTAGTTTGAGGAAATAGTCTGGGTTTTTTACCACAGCTATCTAAACAAAAACATAATGAAGGTTCATCTTTTGAAGTTCCCAAAAATAAAGCAAAATGTAATTCTAATTCAGAATGAAACATTTAAACAAAATAATCAGTGCATATCTGGCACAACTTAAATAAAAATTATGTATCATTCATATATGTTGAATGGTATATTAAACAGTACAAAACTAAGTGATTAATAATGATTTTCTGACAGTATTTTTTAAGCAAGTGGAGAGCTATTGCAAAGATTTTCTAACATGAGTTTGGCAAGTGCAAATGCATTTATGTTTTATATCAGAGTTGTCTGGTCTCCATCATTTTTCCCAAAAAGGTGTGAAGCAATGTGTCCGTCTCTGTGCATCTTCAGAAGATTGAAGCTGCCTTCCAATCCTGTTACTCTGTTGCTGGTGAGTTACTGATGGTGTCCCTTCCCGGGGCAGTAGAGTAACACACTAGAATAATAGCATGCAGATAAAATATGGTAGAGGAACTTGCACTGTGGAAGTAATGGATAATAAGCATATGTACACCATATCTAAAATGATGCCCTATAATCTTTTTATACAACATCTTTCTATTAAAACAACAAATTAAACACTTAGGTTAATTTGGTGCCATCTCCAGACACTGAGTTATCAGTCTTCACTTACTCCTTATAATTTTTATCATTTCTGTTCCCCCTCCTCATTCTTTTAGAGTTTTTCTGCAAACAGAACATCCTCACTGAGAATCAATCTCCCTTCCTTTTTTCTTCTTTCCTTTTCTCTTCCTCTTTTACCCTCTCTTCTTCTCCTCCACTTACTTATTTTTCTTCTTTTTCACTTTTAGCAGAAATAATAAATTGTGTGCACAAAATCTCAGGGGCACTGACTGGTAAGGTTTTTTGAAATGAAATGGAAAGAAAAACACCAGGCAAAGAAAAAGCAAAACATCCTTTGATGCCTTTCAGTATAAATGCTTGTAATGCATTTCAGAATAAATAAGAATAAGCTGTTCTTATTACTAGGAGAAATAAGACCTTGCCTAGCTCCTGCATAGCTAACAAGAGGGATTTCACTTCTGCAGCACACCTGAAATGTGTAACATAATATACCAATGGTACATAAGATGACATTCATATAATTGATTTGTGTATTATTATGTATTTAAGTAACTGAGCATGTATGTTAGCGGTTCTCAGATTTTGCTCTGTACTTCATAGGGAGCCTCTTGATCCCTTAGGACTGGTGTCCTCCTCTCCTGCTCCAATCTTTACCTGAAGATGGAGGAATACCTCCTCAGTAATACTTTATCAGACAGCGAATTCTTATATTTATTCTATTGTCCAACTCTTGATTGAACTGGGTTGGCATATATTGTTAGTAATGGAGAGAAAGGAAGGGAGGGACATTTTACTAAGAAAAACTTAGTTTTGAGGGAGTGAGTAAACTTTCCATACAGGGTCACTGTCTCCACAACAGCCGCAGGAGCTGGTCCTCACTTCTTCCTTTGGACTCTTTGACTTTCATTGAAGTTGCAGTTCATGGCTCTGCCAGGTGATACCAACATGGGCATGTGCCTGTTTCTGGGTTTTATGCTAATGCCATTTAGAAATAATTATTTTGGAGCTCTGCAGGGGTACATTTTCTCCTTCTCTTTTGATGAGGGCAGTTTTTTCCACCCTCTTTCTTTCTTTCCTCTCCCTTCCCACTAGGAAAGTAGAGGCAGTGACAGTACCAGGATGAAGTGCTTGGCTGGACCAGCAGCAATTAGCTGCTCAAATAGTTGGTTCTCTTCCCTGGAGAAAAGGTAGTAAAGCAGATGAAAGCATCCTGTGGGCTGGACTTGATCCATGGACTACCTGTAGAACCTGCAGAACTCATTAGCATCTTCTCTATTGCTTATATTCTGCTAGGTGTAAAGGTATATCTAATTTAATTTTAAATTTTATATTCCTTTAATGAGACCGAGTGTGTTTCATAAGGACATTACCTGCAATACAGAGAGCAGTTTTGTCAGGGTAAAATGATGTGTGTCTTGGACATAAAGAGCTTACTAGAGGGCTTAATGGAATAAATATTTCTACTGCTAGAGAAAAAGAAAACTGTTAGAACGTTTACCAGAAAAAAGTCAAAGAATATGCCAAGTAAAATCTTAAACAAGGCTGTATTAAAAAATAATAAAATTTCATTACTTAATTTATAAGCTGCAAAGAAAGCAAGGACACCATGTTTGGGTAAAGATTCTCCTTACCTGTGATTTATTATTTCTGAAGACTGAAAGGCCAAATCCCAAGAACATCAGTGGAAGTTACATGTAGCATTCTGGCAGAATTATGCTCCAAGACAGTAGTTAACTACCTTCTAAGGTGTTTGAAAATATATTAGAGGGTTAAATGTTCAGCTTGTAGCTGTAGCATTTAAACTTGAGCTTGGGAAATTTGCATTCAATAAACATCCTTGCTAAGTTCTTTTCAGAAAACAAGTCTCATGCATTTTTATGTGCTTCTGTATTATTTAATATGCTACACCTTACTTAGTCAAGGTTCTGGAAGAAAATAAAAAATACAAGTGGGATAGTTCTTAGATGTGGTCTGCCAAATATTATTTTGCCCAGGTCATGTGTAGCGTGCTATCATTAGTGTTCTGTGCTGGAAATTTTGTTGTTCTTTGGGATTTTTTGGTTGGTTGGTTTGTGTCCTATGTTATGACCTTGGGTCTCAATCAGCTCATTAAAAATTAAATTGCTTATTATAACCTGGGTTCATTTTCCACTTTGATCAGAAAGCACAATAGGTTCCTTAAGTGGATTTACCCATAAACTATTCTGGTAATGAGAATAGAAGAGGCAAGTTTAATAACTTTAATATCAAAACAAAAGCTACAGAAATACCACCCAGAGGATAATAACAAACATTTTTTCTAACAAAGAGACAAAACTCATTGAAATATAAAAATTCGGTTTTCTAGCTTGAAATAGGTATAATTTCCACTTCTTCCATGTCTAGTGCTCCTCTCCATCAGCCTGTGAACATTAGGGGATTATTTAATTTGTGCTTCAGAAATTTGAATTCAAAGAAGGAGAAAAAAATGTTAACAATCATAGAAAAAATTGCTGAATGTCATTAATTATCCATTTTTAAGAGTTTTGCAGTTTTACTGTATTCACTTATTACTTGCTTGCAGGAATACTTTTTTTATCTCATAGGCATTTCCTCCCACAAAGATTTGGGAATGGGTAGTGGTAGAAACATAACAAAAATATTTATGATGTGAAAGCACAGCTCCACTTAGTCTAATCTCACTAGTCCACTGAGTCTAGTTTCTCACAGGCTGTGGGGGAAAGTATGAGAATAGGAAAAAAATAAAATTATAGTTTTCCAGAATCTTAACTGAGCTTTCTGTGACCCTTTGGTGCCAGTTATCTTTGTGTTGCCTGTATAAACAACAAAGATCTTTAAGCAGAATATTCCCATGTAAACCTAAGTGTTTGATTTTTTTAAATAGTATTGCCTTTTCTTAATTTTTTTTAAATTTTTCCCTTTTCATTAGTCTCTTTTTTCAAAAGTTTTGGTCATTCTGAAATGATACCAAATGCCTGCAACTGAAGTGACCAGTTGTAAGCCATAGAGCCTGAATAGTTCAGCCATGGTTCTGACTGCTGAAAGCACACTGGAAATGTTTGCAGTAAGGTGTGGAAAATAATTCATAATGGTGGGAGTCGATAAACAATGAATACAAAAACCTAAAACCAGTCTGTCAAATGGAACTTGCACTTGCTAGTTCTAAATGAATAAGGATCCAAAGGAAATCATTAAGAATAACTTCAGTAAGAAATATGAAATAAATTTTCTTACTAGTAAGACAGCTTCTGAAAATTGAATTAATATTAAAATTAGTACTAGTTTTAAATAAATATAGAAAGATGAAACATTTATTTTAGGATGCCATCATAATATTACAGCCACCAGGCAAGTGTTGGCAAACTTAACATTTGGCAAGGGTAGCTGTTTGAAGACTGGTCTACCCCACCTTGGGAAAATAAAAAGGTTTCAAAGCCTGTCTGTCCCAAGTGATGCCTTGAAACAAGATAGAGAAAGTAAATGGTGATTTGTCAGCTCCAGCTAAAATCCCTGAGCATGCCCACGTGGCAAAGGGCTGAGAAAGAACATTTTCTTGCTATTATAATTAGTGTTTTAGTCAAGAAGCAAGTAGGATTTTTTTTCCTTCTTTATCCCTTGCACAGCTACCTTCCTTTTATTTTCTTTTGTAAGCACAAAGTGAATATTTACATATAAAGACTGAGGATACATTACTTTTCAAGAAATTTGTATTGTTTTCAGATTTCTGGAAAATGTTAATGAGAATTTACTTACTATCATGTAAACCTTTAATAGATTTGAAACTTTGGAATTTCAGAACTTTAAAAAATCTTCTTTTAGAACTTTGCAAGAAAATCTCAAGAGAGAAGCAAAATATTTTACATAACTGTTTTTCCATTTGTAAATCTCCTTGCTACTGTCTAGAAAATTATTAAAATGTGATTGTCTTCTTCAAAGTATATTGTATTATAAAGGGGCTTTTCATGATATGTATATAATAAAGAGTCCTTTTATTTTAAAAAAGTTTTATTTTAATGAATTATTTAGTTGAAAAGCAAAGCTGCTTTGTGGATGGAGTTTATTAAGACTCATCAGCCATCTCATAATATAGCACATTTTGTGAGCTCTGAAAATGTCTCTTGGTATTATTTCTTGACTGAATTATTCACTTTTGCAATCTGCTATTCATATATATATTTAAATGAAGACATTTTCCTTGGAAAATCACAGTAGCCTAAATAGAACTCTGATTTCTGTAAATAGCTTGAATATATTTCCCCACATGATGTGTACACTGTATGCAGAACAATTTTAACAATAAATCTATTAGAATCTTTCATGTGTGCAAATATGGAAAATGGCAAGATTTTTTATATGTTCATATTATTTAAGGTCACAATTTATTTTATGGGTTATTTGCTATATAGTAGTAGCTCTGAACATAACAGTATTTTTCAGTCTTGGGATGAACAGTGTATTAAATAATTCCTATTCAGAACAATATCCTGATTCAGGTCAATGATTTGAAATAAACTTTGATCAATCATTAATAAACTGCATTCATATATATTTTATCTAAAGTAATGCTTTTGGGTGTGTTCTGTATTCATTGTGAGTAGATTGCTCATTAAGGAAAAATTATTCTGTTCTCAAATTCTCCAGTCACTACCATTCACAAGTGATTAAATTAAACTCATTTTAAAATTAAGAAACATTATCAGTAACTTAAGGAGAAGTAATAAGGAAAGACTGTTAAAACCCAGATGATTCAAAATTAAGTTGTACTTGAATGTAGAATAAAATTGGTAAGGCACGTATGCATATGCATTTTTATATTTACACATACAGAATTATATTTATTTACATTTACATGTGTGTTTGTACAGACATAGTAGAGATATTCTTCAAATACATAAACAAATTAATAAAGGGCATATATATTTTCAATGTTAAAAAATTATGGGCTAACACCGAAAATAAGACTTTCTTTCCTTGTCATGAGAAATATCTACAACTCTCTTTATGGTTTGTTCCATATATCCAATATCCTGTAATAATTGTGTTGCTTTGTTGACTGCATTGGCTTTTCTTGTCATTGTTTAGGTTTTATTTATAAAACCTAAGGGGTTTTGATATATTGCACAGCATTAACAGTATCTGGCAGTACTTGGATTGATTGTTTCTCACACAGAATAATAGCACTTGGGTTAACTTCCAGTAAAAATATAGCACTTCATAATGTCTCTGTTTCATCTGACATTAAGGTGCATGCTGGCATGCAAGTATGTGTGCAGTCCACCTCAAAACAAAGCTCTATAATTTGCATCCCATATCTGAAAAGTTAATTTTGCTAAGGTGCTTGCACCTTTCCCGTTCTTTTCAGTTATAAAATTATTAGAACTTGACTTTAAATTTAGCAGGAGAAAATAGGAGTTCAGAAGTATTTAGTTGCTAGATAGGGCCTAGTGTTTATTAGGATTCTTATCTGAGTTTATAAAAGCCGTATTACCATCATTTCACCATTTATAAACTAATCAGCTGCTTTGCCTTCCTTCCCACCCCTCACCTTGGCAAGACTGAAATTTATCTCTTTTCATCCAGGAAGAGAAAGTCATCTCGAATTCTCTCCTGGTAAAACTAAACTCTACTCCTTTGGCATGAGGTTTATACTTCATTATTTTTTAGATAAACCTTTGAAAATTCTTTTTGTGGGTACACCATATTCACCTGACAGAGGAAATGTGCATTTCTTGTGTATCAGGCTGTTCTGAAACTACGAGCAGGTTTAAAGTAACATGAGGGAAGGATTTGGTCCATTGAGTCACATCAGTTTCTGATTACTTTTCTTCTTGTGGAGACTACCCTGTTGTGTTGAAATATGTCCCTGCATTGCCATTCTGATAATCGACTCACTGAGGTACCTCTGGCTTGTTAAAGGGCAGATAGCTGAAGGACCAATAACTTTTTGCTCTTTCTCTTCCTCCATCTAGCATCCTAATAATTGCCATTAGGCATCAAGATTCTGTATATGGAAGTGTCTTTATTATTGAAGCAACAATAGCTGCTTTCAGTTAGCCTAACATCTGAAACTGGGGTTCACAGTTGTCTGACTTTACTATGATTGTTATCCAGATTGTTGTGCTTTTTGAAATTATTTCCTCTGCTTCATTCTCCTGATTTTGACACTTTTATTCTGAATGTACAGTGAGGCTGCATGACATTCTGCCATTTCCTGTTGCTGTATAGAAAACATAAACATAGCTATGGCTTTCAGCTTTCCCCATTATCCTCAAAATCATACAACAGAATTTACTGTTTGGTGGTTTTTTGCCACGTCTTTTATGTGCTATTTTTGAACTTATCTATAATCACCATCTACACTTTGTGGCAAAATCCACAAACTAGCAGAGAGATGCTACGTGTTTGAAAAACAAAAGTTACCATTCTGTAGAATCAATATTTCCTGTGACAGAAAATAACAGATTATACATGATTTATATATTATATTGTACTGGATTGATTAGAATTTTCATGACAGCCTTTTAACATAACACAACATACATTGATAGCTAAGGTGCTGGAGAGCATAATATCCTTTTTTCTTTTCTTTTTCCTTTTTTTTTTCCTTTTTTAATAAGAAAAATACTGCCTTTGATACTTTTCAGGTCAAAAACTTTTCAAGTGACCTATAAGGAAAAAATCATTAGGAGAGATTTCAGGCTGTTGGAGAAAATTTCTCTTATTCTAGAAAAAAAATCATTTGGAGTAAGAACATGGGCTCTTTTACAGTGCAATTACTTAATCAGTACTTCTGAAGATTAACCTGAAATACTGCATAACTGAATGAAGCTCATATTTCCATACAAAAACGAAGCTCCATTAATGTAAACTTTATTTTAAAGTATATCACTTTAGCTACAATTCAGTGCTCTGCAGTGTCTAATTTCAATCAGTAAGAATCCCAATATAATAAAAAAAAAATTCTGAATAAGATCTGAAAAAACACATAATTGTCAAAGGATACACTTTCAGATTCATTTTTTAGAAAAATTATTTCATTTTTGGGGATATTTTTGGAATGCGTTTCACTTACTCAGAAGTTGTTTGTTGTCCCTAGTACCATTTCACTTAACAATTCAAATGATTTCCAGTTCAGTTTAAGTAAAGAAAAGCATTTTTCACAGTGTAAGACATTTTCTACAACTTTTTATTTATTTCACTGCAAAAAGAACTTGGAGTTGAAAGCTGATATTTTTCAAATTGCAAACCTCAGTGAGCTTATAATGTTTTTGTAAGGTACCAAAAAGTTATACTCTATGTATTAAAACTGTACAGTTATTTTGTATATTCACATTTAACTATGAAAAATTACTAATGTTGTTCACAGTGTGATGTACATGCCTGCCAAGAGACCTGGTCTTAAAAAGTAATGGTGCCAACACTTCAATGACTGATCTGCAGAGTTTGTGCCTCTTCAGAGATGCATTGGGTGTTCCAAAGTCACTGGAATTAATAGAAAATCTGAATTTTTAAATGCCATGGCAGAGGAATCTTGAGGCACTCTATTATTTTATTCCCCAGTTTCCCAGAAGTTTGCGGGACAGCACAGGAAAATCCCGTGAGAAAAATACAGGGGTATTCTTTTTGTTGTTCATTGATCAGTTTTCAATTAGTTTGACAAATGAATTCTATACTATTTTTTAATTTTTTATTATTCTCCACACTGCTGAGTCTATTTATTAAAATATAGAATAGCTACACCTTTTAGATATTTTGGTAAGCATTTTTTCCATAGTTCATATATTATTGTGCTTGTGTATTTTAGTAATAGAAAAAATAAAGAGTTTTTAAAATTTGATGTACTGCTTGATTTATACTAATACTTAAATTTAAATGTTACTTCCTATTAAAGATCTATATTGATGTAAAGGTGAGTGTGAAGTGGGGAAGTGGGAAGTTAAGGTGTATATTACTTTCTTCCTCCCTTATAATATCAGAAAATTTTTAGATTTGTGATCAAATATTTTGTCTCAATTTATATTAGTTGCTACATTTTTTTCTCACAAACCACATGACAAGCAATCCTAGTACGTATGATGACATGTGGGAAAAAATAAATCATACTTTAAAAATGCATCGATAAATGTATTTTCCCTAAAGCATTTGTATACTAGACATTGTTGAGAGAATGTAAAATTTACAGAGCTAGTTGGTAAGAGTTTTCCATTTTCTCTTTTTCGCCTTCCTCCTTCCCTCTTTCCCCTCCTGTCCTTTCTGCTTGATAAAACACTGTCTTTCTTTTTGTGAAATCCCCTCAGGTTAGTGCTAATTCTGGAAGGAATTAAAAGCTTGAAATCAGAGAACTGATTTGCTTACAGTTTAACCTGCGTTGAAAGTTGTTGACACATGCAACTGAGCTGGCGAGGTTTTTCTCCTTTATTTCCTGTGAATAGAGACAGAATTTGCTATTATGAACACAGACAATTCCCTGAGATCCTGAGTTCAATGAGGTCACAGATGTAAAGTTTCTGAGCACTTACTGAAATTTTATGTCGACTCCTAGACTGGCTAGCTTCAGTCATGGAATGGCTGAAAAAGTTGGTATTACCTTCAACACCTAAGCACCCCTCACTACTGGATAAGGATTTCTGACTCTGACAAACATTAGCAGAGCTTTTCTAATAAGATCTTTCAGTCCAACCGGCCCACCACTGCTTGTTTAATTGTGGTTTTGGATAATGAAACTCATTCTATAACGGGATTAATCACATTATTACCATCTTATTTAAATAGAATAGAACATTCCAGTGAGTAATTTGTTATAAGTGAATACTAATTAAAAATATTTCAATGGATAATAAATATTTATATATTACTTTATTGTTCCTGAAATGACACATAATATGTGCTGCAACTGCTGCCTATGGTATCAGCTTGAGTGACCTACTCGTTCTCTATGGAAATTAGAAGAATGTCCTTTTATATGAAATTCAAAGTTTGTCCTATATTTGTGTGCAAATATTCAAGGCACAAGTTAATGTATTTGCACACTTAGCATTCCCTGAAAGTATTTTTGGCCACAGAATTAGAAAATAATTCACATTCAGTGAATATAAAGACCTTCATATACGCACACTAAAGAGTAGTACATCTTAAGTAATGGGAACAGCTTTTGCAAGGGAAAACCTTTGTGTTACAGGTGACTTTTTTATTGCATTTTCTTGAATTAATGTGCCTTATGATGGTAATTCAAATACTAGAACAGCTGCTTTTCAGATATAAAGTAGTATTATGACTGCAAGCATTTGCTTAAAGTTTTCTTTGCTTTTTTATTTTTCATAGAAATCATAAAAAAATACAATGAGTAGAGACATCAAGTGACTATTCAGTCAAGGCTGCTCTCATTCTCTTCCAAATCAAGGTCAGTCATACCAAGTTCATTCCAGGCAGATGTCTGTCTTACCCATGTTTATTTTGGTTTTTAAAAAAGAGTGGTTTCAATTCTTTCTATTGTACAGATAACGTACTCCAGTGCTTTCTTGAAAGAACAAGAAATAAATGAGAATAAAAGTTTAAAATCAGAGTACTCTAAAAAATACCTGCATGTCCATTCATTCTTCATCTGTGTAACTTATTTCTGATTTCATGTTCTCCTTAAAAACGTTTCTTAAAAAATCCTGATATGACATGATTTCAGGAAGCAAAGGTGCTACATTTGAATTAGAAGTAGTTATCTTTTACTGGATAACCTAGTGCTTTTCTTTTACTTAGATAGACTTTTGGAAAAATTCCCTAAGATTTCACTGAAGTCATGGTTTAACTCTGAGGACCTGAGGCAAACTGTGTACTAAACTTCTTCATTTTTATTTGTCTTGGAGGGATTTAGACTGCTACTGAAGGGTATGTTCCATGCAAATATGTGGTGTATTTCTCACCTCCTGAACACTTCAAAATATTCAAGATGATGCATCTGGGTTCCCAAGGGGATTGTTCTGGAATGCTGTACAGCGGAACTGAGCTGGGACTGGGACTACAGTTACCAATTAAGGTGGAGAGAGGAAAGCACCAAACTCAAGTCCACAAATGTTCCCTTCCTGTAGAGGTCAGGCTCTCCCCGCTATGGAAAGAGACTCCCCTGCTCACACAGTCTAGCTGGGAATGTGGCAATACACATCAGGAGCAACTGGAAATGAATCGGAGCTCTCTTTGCAAGAATATAAGCTGTAACCTTAAAAAAAATTCCCGAAGTGCCAGATTTTTAACAGGTGTTTATAGTGTCTTTCCAAACATATGGATGTTTTTAAGGATTTCTCCTGAAGGACCTATCTATATGAATTACTCCCATTGCACAAGACATTTCCTAAAGATTCTCGAGTTACTGGGTTCATCTCCATCTCTTTTCTTAAGGGATCCTTTTTTGATGAAAATTGCATCTGTCAAAAGACAAACAGGAAGAATCAAATCCATTCTAATGAACTTTTATGTACCACATATTTTATTTTTTTTTTAAATAGGATGATATCTTTTGCCACTGCTAATTTTTCTTCTGGAAATTGTAACATATCTCCTCATAAACTGAAATTTCCTATTACAGTTTCTATGCTCAGCTCTTATGAACAGCAAAAAAAACATATCTCTATTATCCCAATAGAGTGAGAGTGCTGCAATTGCTACTCAGAAGAACACAAAGCTCAGTGTTTGAAAGGAACATAAAAACTCCTGTATCCCTTTGCGAGGATGGATTCTGCTCAGTACACATGAATTGTCCAAAGCGGCAAGTAAGAATGAATCATCAGTTTCTTACCATGAAGCACAAGAGACCAGGAAATGACAGCATTTTTATCACTTCCAAATACAGAGATAGTTTTTAAAAAGGTGTTATTACACCCTAAAATACTTAAATGTGAAGCTTTTATTCTGTGTTTAGCTGTCACTAACTCTAATGCTACTTTTTGATGGAATTTTTTTATTAGTTAATACAAAGTTACACTGCTAAAAATAGACAAATCAGCTTGAATGGGGAGTTTTTTTTAAGTTTATTACTACAAAGAGACATTCCTCTGAAAGCAAAATCTTTAAGTAGTTTCTGTAAGTTTTATTACACAGAAGGTAAATTCTGTGTACACTGCAGTTCCAGAGAATAACTTTTATGAATTAAATAAAATTTTTCATTTGAATGAAGTTTTACATTCTCCAAGTCTGGTAAAAAAACAGAAACTGATAAAAAGCCACTATGCCCATTTTTAATATTTAAGAAATTTACAGGTTTAATATTTGATGATCAAATTTGATACACTATGCCCATCTTCATTATGTATCTTATATATAGTTCAAGGCCAGGTTGGTGGGGACTTCTGTGACTTGATATAATGGAAGCTCTCTCTGCCCGTGACATTTGGAACAAGGTGATGTTTAAGGCACCTTCCAGCTCAAGCCATTCTATGATTCTATGACATTTCTCTAAAGTGAAAGGTATAATGAAATGCTCCTGCAAATCTTAGTGGACTGTCATGGGCTTACCTTATAGAAATACCTGATCAGAAAATGTCGCAGACATCTTTTATGGAAAATCCTTTCCTTAGGATTTTTCCTCCTGAGAAGCTGAGAGGCCTCAGGAATGTAAACAATGGTTATTTGTAAATGTAAACAATGTAAACAATGGTTATTTGCTGCTGTGGAATGCAACAAGTGGATCTGTGATTGGCCCGTGTTGGATGCTTATAATTAATGTCCAATCACAGCCCAGCTGGCTCGGACAGAGATTCTGAGACAGCTGCCTTTTTTATCATTCTTTGCTATTCTAGTCTTAGCTAGCCCTCTGATGAAATCCTTTCTTCTCATTTTTTAGTGTAATATATATCATAAAATAATAAATCAAGCCTTCTGAAACATGGAGTCAGATCCTCATCTCTTCCTCAATCTGAAAACCCCTGTGAACACCATCACAAGAGAATACAGTGTTAAGTCCACACCAAAAAATGTAGAACTTCACAAGATATAGCTTTAAATATGCAGTCACTGTGTGTCATGCAGACTTTGAATCTTTAACAATTATTCTGCTGTAACTTACAGAGTTACTGAATCAAATGTATTTGCAGTAGAACACTGATTATGAAGATGATGCCATGTATTCATGGGTAAATCTGTTTTGTACTGGTTGCCTGTAGATACATTTTACACTTTATAACTTCATGCTTTGAAAATTGGACTTTTTAGAATGAAAGTTCAAAACTTTTCCGAAGACAGCAGTGGTCAAAGCAGTACTATAGACATTATCTCTAAGCAGTATCATGGGTCTCTTAGTAGTGTTAGAGCACATAAATGAATTCTTCTGAATTCACCTGGAGAGCTTGAAAACATCAAGCTTTTGGCTTTGGTCTGTTAGAAACTTCACCCATTCACTCAGTTTGGATGGTGGCTGAGGGTGGGCAGCTGAGATTTGGGCACTAGAGTACATGGGCTTATGTGTGGCCATCTGCCTTTTCTATTCCAGTAATGTAGCCATGGTTTTATGAGGACAGACACAAGTCTAATGCTAGTAATTCTGCAAATGCAAAGGCATGATCTTTCACGTGCAGGGAACTGATGCAAAAAGGTTCCAAGATATAGATTGTCTCCATACAACTGCTATTCCAAAAATTTCTCCACCATGGGAGAGGAATTATTTTATGAACATTTTAAGGACAACAGGAAATACTGTTTTTATACATGACAACTTACAACTATGTTGAAGATTGCTTATGTTCATAGAAAAAAAGAAATTGTATCCTTGTACTGAGTTCCCTGTGACCTTGTGGTTGCCAGGTACATAAAAAATCAATCAGCATATGAAGTTAGTGTGGGTTTTTGTAGGGAAATGAAATATTTGCGTAGTAAATAAAGAACATGAACCCCACATGAATTACATGAATTCCACATGAATGTCTAGTTTACCTTTTTTTTTTTTTTTTAATTCCAATTATTTTCTGAGTCAGACTCAAAATTTTAGTGGCTTGAATGCTTGGAGTTCTGGCAGTAGAGCTTTATATTACCTAATCTCGTGTGGCCTAACATTGAGGCAGAGGAGTTCTGAAGCTGAGCCAGGAAGATTACTGTGCAAATTAATCAGACTTGTTCAACAACATTTTTTCTAATGTGGAACACTAAGAAGCTTTTTTTCCATTAATCTCACCCTTTTAATTTTGGAACCATTTTGCCTTTTCTTTTGCCTGTTTATATAGAGTGGTAACATTTAAATTGATTTCCTTTTCCTGTGTGAATTAAGTCACGGGATGATATTTTCTCCTTACAATTCACGTACCAGATGTGCAGAATGGTGTTTTCTCCACTTGACCACACTGTTAACAGAGCCAGAGATGTATAGGAGAGGTTTTAAGAGCTGTAGGGCCCATTGATACATAGTCTTCCAAGCAGAAACTGGACTGTCAGCTGGAGGCAATAGCCTTGAGGGCCCTATGAAGGATTCACTCGGAGTTCTCAAGAGCTTTAGCTAGATATTCTGTGCTCAGTACCAGCTGCCGCTGCTTTCATCCATTGTCTTTAGTTCCCCTCCACACAGAAAATGCACTTCAGTTTTATCCTTCAACTTCATCATTTATTGTCCTTCCTCCTCAAAGGGAGAAAACTTATTCTTTTCTTCCTTAAATGGACTCATGCAAAAAACCCCATGTAAGAATTTTAATATTGATATTATCGTGATGATTTAATCATATGCTGGAGTCACATTATGACCTCTATTTATAGACTAACCCCATATATTTGGTTTAGATTTTTAAATTTTCAAGTGCAACAGGGTGAGTCTTTCCGTTGTTATTTCTGCTATGTCATTTTATATGTATCAATATATTTGGTATGGTATATCAAAGTATAAGTAATTTAGAGATTAAGATATTATGTGCTGATCTTTGATTCTTAAACCTTGCAAAGCTGGCAAGACTTCCAGCTTAAGTGGGCTTATTATACCATAATAAAAGAATATATGATGAGGCCAAAAATTAAATTAAGTGGGGATATTGGCGTAATTTTTGTGGCAAAATCTTTGATATCAGGAGTGTGTGATCATAATATGTTTCTTCATCAGCCAGGAAGGAAAAGTATGCTTCAAAATAAGAAACACTACCAGTTGTAGTTAGAATACTTGGAAAGTAATTGTTGGTATAGATAGAGTTTTAGTGTTCTTTCTCAAACTTGCTTCTTGATGAAACCTTCCTTTCAGGAGGTTTCAGCTGAATTTCAAATGTTCTTTGAGCTAGAATAGGAGTAGAAGAGGTCTTTATTTTTTTCTGAAGGTTTGAAACTAACATGATAAACCCTCAAACCTGAAGTACCTTTAGCTACAATTCCTGTACCTGTTGGTCTATATGCCTCAGATAGATGGTTCTATTGTCCTACCTAATATGTTGGTTATTAATAAGACATTATTTCTTAAACATCTAACATGACTTAGAAAACTGGTTAAACATGTTTCATCAAAATTTTTTTTGAGTCATATGTAAATGTGTAACCTGAATAATCTCATATGGATGAAATCTGTCAAGATTTTGATCAAATGTAGGAGAAAAACCAGAAAACATGCATTTGAGTCCAGGTAGATGTATTTCTTCTTACAAATTACTCTAACAGTAAAGTCATGAACAATCTTTCTGTCTTCAGATTAATTCTCTTATCTGTGATAGATTTATTTAATTCATTGATATTCTCCTACATTGAGATAAACAGAGTGAGATACATGATGTTGATCTGAAACAGAAAAGTAGACCACTGCAGTAATTTGGGAGCAAATTCCTTTTTGCCTGAAGTCCAGTGTCATCAGTGTTACTAAGTCAACAAATAAAATTTCTTTCTTTTAAGTTGATTATTGTCCTGTATATAAAATATGAAAAAATTCTATTCATACTTGTAATTTTTGACAATGAAACAATCTCAGTCTTTTGAGGTCTGTTTAAAAAATTCAGACTGGTTTTAAAATTGCTTGTGAAAAAAAACAATAAGCAGGGAAAGAATTTAATAGTGCTTAGTCTGGCAAAAAAATATTTTTATGAATACTTTCACTCTAGAAACGGACGCCGCAAATACTACCCTACCAGACATAGTGCACAAATCTGTTGAAGTGTAACAAGAGTCTGCAAAGCCTCCACATTTAGATTCTTCCACTTCTTTCAGAAAAACAATGTATGCTTTGGGTGTTTCCCTAGTTATATTTTACCTTCTATCGGCAAGATCATTACATATTTTGGGGTTATTTAAAATGCTTTGGGAAACTGTGTGTGTAATTGAACTGAAAACACTCAGTCAAAACTCAGGTCTGCAGTGCTTATATAATACGTTCCCCGGGCACTGCTTTTTTCCCTGCTTTAGTTTTTATTTTTATTCCCACAGGCCAGCTGGAGATGAGGAGCAGGCTGGGAGATTGTGTGCAGCAGAACTGATGGCTCAACAGGAAACTTTCCATTGCTTCAGAAGTTAGAGGCAGGTCTCAAGAATGGGGGATCTGAATACAAAATGCAAAGAGCATGTAAACTCTTACTAATCCCTTGAAATATTCTGCCCAGTGTTCCCCTCTGGGCAAGTAATTGCAGATTATTAGAGGGGACTGATTTACTTATTTCTATCAGGAGATAGAGTGGGATCAACATAAGAAGGTATAATTTATTGAAGGTTAAACTATCTATCAATTATTTATGTGGAGTTTTGTTTTTTTTTTTTTTTCTCCACAGTCCTTCTGTGACATGGAGCAGTGTGAGTCTTATTTTCATGCCAGAACAACTGAGAAAGAGAGATGCATGCTTAGGGATATGTAAAGAGTTTGTGAATAGCAGTTCCAGATTTTCAAACTCAATTCAGTATTTTAATCATTAAACTGTCTTCCTCTCTTCCCCACTGATACATTTCTGAAATGTATTTTATCAGTCTATGATCACTTGCTGATTTAACAATAGAGAGCATATCAGGTGAAAACCACAGGTATTTAATTTCACATCAGTGTGGCATTGCAGGAAAGAACCTGCTTCTGAAAGACAAATCTTGCTTATATCTCTAGTAATTTAGCAGATGGCTGACATCACTTTTGCTTGCTTTTTCAAATAATTATGTAGCTAGGTAATCACTGTATAAATCAAAGAATGAAGTAAACTGAAAGAAGATCTGAGGAATCCACATGTACTTACTGCAATGAATCATCATTATGTGCTCTTTATAAAACCCCATCTGCTGTTAGGTTGCTACTGCCAGCAAATTTTATTACAAATGCTACTTTTATAAAACACCTAATCCACTACCTTCAGTATTAATTCCAAGAGATGTGGTATAGAAGTGCATATTATGCATGTTATGGAACTCAGAATATATTTATCAGGGCAGTTATACTACATCTGAATTCATCTTAACACAGAGCAGGCAGAAACAATAATATAAATATCTATCTCCTGGTTCACAGGACTGAACTGAGAATAAAAGTGAAACATTGCAGGCATATCATTACCAAGTAAATAAAATAATAATTAAAAAGAAAAGAAAATAAAAAAACAAAACAAAACAAAACAACAGAAAGAAAGCCAAAATATTTAATCATCCAGGAAATATATACTCAGTTATATCTTTGTGATCAATGGGAGTATAATAAAG